TTAGACAAAATTTAAACAGAAATAAAAATAAAACCGTCAAGAAACGAAACGTATAGATAAAACTAGATGCGTATCGCCAAAATCCCGGCACATGGGAAAAAATTAAACATGAAACGTCAAACGTAATATAATTTTTACAATAATTGTACACTATTTTTGAGGGTCTAAATCCAACCCTGGCCTAATCTTGGTAACGTAACTAAACTAACTGTAAAATAAAACTTTATAAACGCGTTTATATAATAATTTAATTGTAACAAAATTAATATAAGGTTATTTACCGATGATACGATATCCCATGCTTCTCTTATCTTTGTATCGTAATTTTTGCATTCTTTTACCATGCAACTAGACATATTTGTGACAGGTAAATCTGTCCTGCGCGCGCACCACTGTCGACCGATTCGCGTTGGCCCTAAACTTTAATTTTAGGGCCAACGCATTGGTCCGTTTTAGTTGTTCGGTCGGCCCGGTCCTTACGCTAGTAATATATAAGTCAATGACTGCAACGCTTTCCGCGCTTTTCATTTAAAACTAATTGACTTAACCGTGAACATTTGCGCGCTATGATCTATTATGATTTTAAATTTGGTTTAACCGGACAATTAAGTTTACAACGGTTACAATCAGGGGGACTCAGCTTCATCACGCACAAGAAATTTTAGGTGGTTTGTTGAATTCAATAGGGGTAAAGGGCCCAGTAAACAGCAGTAATGGCAGAAAATGTAAGGAATACTGATATGTTGGTGCTAGAAGACCTACGAATCACATATACGGATATCGAAAGATTGTAGGCATTAGTTGGGGGCCACTCATACTATCTTACATCAACATCTTGGAGTAAGGAAGCTTTGTTGTCGATGGACTCCTCATTTGCTCTTCTAAAGCGAAAAGCAGATTCGTGTGGATTGATGAAATGAAATGCGTCTACGTTTTGAAAACGGAGCATCTTGGTATGTTTCAGAAATCGTTACCGATGACGAGACATGGATCTATCAATATTATCGGGAACATAAAAGGCAATCAGCGGTATGGGCCTACTCAGAAGGACAGTTGCCGACAAACCTGCAAAGACCTCGCAACGTCGGCAAAAAATGGTGGCTAGTAATTTTGCGGTGCGGATATTTGTTCGAAGTCAATGTTGGAAAATTGCAGGTCAGTCAACTCTGAATGGAATACTACAGTTGCATTACCCAAAGCTTTTCAAGCTGTGTGACCAAAACCGGGCTTCGGGGAATCATGCTGCATAACGCCTCTTCACATACCTCCCTTAGACCAAAAGCATTTATTGAGGAATCTCGTGTTGAAACTCTAAGTCACCCACCTTACAGCCCTGACATAGCTCCTTGTGATTTTTTTTTTGTTTCCAAGAGTCAAAGAAAAAATAAAAGGCAAGTTTTTTTCAAGCGCCGAAGAAGCCATATGTCTGCATACGAAGAAGCGATTTCCGACCTGTCAGATCAAGACTGGCAAAAGTGTTTTCAGAGTTGCTTTTTTCTCGCTGAGCAGTCTTATCTCCGGAAATATTTCTCGCTATTGTGTACATACGAAGGTATCACACATCGTGCAATGGTGAATAGATGCATACGATAGTGCACCTTATTTAACATGGAGGAAGATATAATTCAAGAAGATAATGAGCTTAATAATATTCTATCATCATAAACACTCACGCCTGTCACCCAGAGGGGTAGGCAGAGACTACAGACTTCCATTTGGCACGATCCTGACACACCTCTCTCGCCTCCTTCACATCCATACACCTACGCATGCATGCTCGTCGGTTAAGGGTACTCCTAATTTGGCCCGTTTTCAATAAATCGCCAATTTGGTCGATAAATTTTCGCGTAGGACGTCCCTTTCCGACTCTGCCATTCACTTCTGCAAAATAAATTTTCTTTGTCACTCTTTCCTCATCCATTCTTTCCACATGACCAAACCACCGAAGCATTCCTTTCCATAACCACACTCTTCTCTTATCACACAATTTTTCACCCTGTCATTCAGATTCAGCCCTAACATACTCCTTAACGACCGCATTTCTACTGCATTTATTCTACTCTCGTGCTTCTTCTGCCATACCCAACTTTCACTACCATACGTTAAAGTAGGGACCAACACAGCATTGTGAATTGCCATACGTGCCTTTTTTGACACATTTTGACTCTTCACAATAGAGTGCAGGGCTCCATTTACTCTGTTTCCTGCGTTCACTCGTCGTTCTATATCCTTATCATATCTCCCATCCCTGCTAAATACGCAACCCAAATATACAAACTCATCTACTTGCTCGATCAACTCCCCTTCTATTCTTATTTCACATATCGTTTTACTTTCATCTCTTTCAAAAACCATAATTTTTGTCTTACTTGCGTTCACTTTCATACCCCTTTCTTTTAATGATCTGTTCATTAATGTAACCATCATTTGCAACTCAGCCGCCGACGACGCAAGAATAACTTGATCATCGGCGTACAAAAGACATTTGATGGTTAACTCACCCATTCTTAATCCGCATTCTTCAACTTTCAAATTTTGCAAACAACTGTCCATAAATAGGTTGAACAACCACGGGGAAGCCACACAGCCCTGTCTGACACCTTTATGAATGCCAAACCAGTCCGAGTAGACCCCGTTGATCCTAACACAAGCACTAGAGTCCTTATAAAGAGATTCCAATGCCTGTATCAAGCCAGCGCTCAACCCAAATGAGTTCAGTGTTTGCCATAGCACATTCCTATCCACTCTGTCATAGGCCTTCTCCAAGTCCATGAACGCACAAAAAACCTTTTGGTTTTTGGCCAAAAACTTCTCCGCGATCATGCGCATGGAGAAGACTTGATCTGTACATCCCATTCCCTTTCTAAATCCCGCTTGCACATCCCAAATTTTTCCATCGGTTTCTTTCATGACCCTTTCAATTAGTACCTTGGCATACAGTTTTCCCACGATGCTAAGAAGGCTGATACCGCGGTAGTTTTTACAGTCCTGCTGCGACCCTTTTCCCTTATATACTGGGACTATCACGGCTTTGCACCAGTCTCCCGGTACCCGCTTCAGTTCCCAGCATAAATTAAACAAGGTGTGCAGCAGGCCTGCCACCACTTCCTCTCCAGCCCTTAGCATTTCGAGTGAAACTCTATCATATCCGGCAGCCTTACCTGCTTTCATGCTTCTCATTGCTTTCATTATTTCATCTATACTTATCTCGCTACCTTCTTCCTCTTCTTTCGGAGTTCCTATTTCATTCAGTTCATACGTTGTCTCCTCACTCATAAACATGCTTTCAAAATATTCCTTCCATCTCTTTAAACTCAAAACTTCATCATTCAGAATATAGCCATTCTCATCTCTTATAGCATTCATTATAGGCTGTTTTGAACATCCCCTGGCAGTTCTTACGAGTTTCCAGAACATTTTAATATTTGCCTGGAAGTTATCCGATATTCTTCTATCATTCTTATCCGTTCTTTCTTGCTTTTTCCTTTCAACTACTTCTTTTACTCTTTTATTTAGATGTCTAAAGACTGCCTTTTTTCTTTCAAAATCATCATTCGTACCGCTTGAATTACCAGCCTTAGTTGCTAGTAAATCTAGCCATGCTCTCTTCTTTGCTTCAACTTCCGTACGTATCTCATCGTCCCACCATAACGTATTATTTTTCCTTTCATTCTTTCTTTTACTAACACCACATACTTCGGTAGCTGCATCTACTAAACCTTTCTTAACATTTTGCCATACATTCTCCAAGTCTAACTCATTCATACATAATTCATCCAAACCACTTACGTTTTCTTTCAGTCTACATTTAAACTTGTTTTTCTCACCTTCATCTTGTAATCTTTCTGTTCTAATACGCTGTAACGCAGTGGTAGACACAGATGACCGATGGCGCCACCGCCTGAATAGACCATTAATTCGGCATAAAACCAAAAAATGATCCGTTCCTACGTTTTACCCCCGGTAAACCCTTGTATCCACCACTGCGCCCCTCAATCTTTCATCCACAATTATGAAATCTATCATGCTTCTATCATCACCTCTTTCCCAAGTGTACATGTGAATCCTCTTGTGGCGAAAGAAAGTGTTCGTCACAAAAAGATTCTTTTCCATACATACAGTGAGGAGGCTTTCACCATTCTCATTTATACTTTCATCACCAAACGTTCCCAATATCCTTTCATAACCAAGCCTCCTCACCCCAACTCTTCCATTAAAATCTCCTAGCATAACAACATTTTCATTTCCCTTACATTTCATTAATACCATCCTTACCATTTCCCAAAACTGCTCTCGGATATGAGTGGGCTTAGACATGTCTGGGGCGTAGACCCCTAGTACAAACAACTTCTTTAAGCCCACTTTCAATCGTATCCATAGCAGTCTTGGGCTTACATATTCATACTCTTTCACACATTGCACCATTCTTTCTGATAGGATGATCCCTACTCCCTGGCATGCCCGCTCGAGCTCGTCTACACCAGACCAGTATGCGGTATACATGCCATGTGCAGTGACATCCTTCCCCTTCCGTTTCGTCTCATTTACACATAACAAATCTATTCCTCTATCATACATCACCTCGCATACTTCACCCATTTTATCATTCATTGCTCCACATACATTCAACGTAGCCAGACGGGCCTCTGCAATCCACTTTTCGCCCCTCCGGGAGACAGAACGTGACGGGTGGCGAGCCTCGTCGCCGGTTTTCCTCCCGGAGATTCTTCGCACCCCTGCCCCATTAAAGGGGCGCCGGGAACTCGGGGCCATTTCTTTACTTTGATTCCTCATGGTGCGAATGGGGTGGTATATTTAACGCCGCTACCACGGCGAGGAGCCGAGTCTGTGCTATCGGCTTGTCGCTCATTTAGCACCACCCGGGGGACACGTGTAGGGTGGGCCTAGGATTAGGTGGTCAGAGCCTACGGACGCGCGCGACTTATCCCCCTAATATTCTACACGGGATAAGTAATGTTGAGGAGTCGGAGACTTGTTTAATGGAGAAGAATACTACACAACGGGAGGAAGAAATGCTTGAGGACTCTAGTTCTAGAGTTAGTCATAGTAAGAGACCGCGGGAGGAGGATGTGGAAGAAGAGTGGATAGCGGTAGGAAGAAATGGAAAGAGAGTGGGACAGAAGGTTGATGTGTACATTAATAATTCCGAAAAGCTACCGAAGCAATTCGCGCTTGCTAAATTATTAAGGTCTAATAACATTAGTAGTGTTAGCCGGGTAAAATATATAAACCCCTATAAAGTGTTCATACAGTTTGAAAATGCAGAAAGTGCTGAGGAGTTGATCAATTGCAAACCTTTGCAAGATTTAGGTTGGAGATGCCAAAAACCACTCGAAGTTGTTATATCTTACGGCGTTATTAAGAATGTAGAATTGGACTTGAGTGAAAAAGACATGTTAGAAGGTATTTCAAGCAATTGTGAACTGATAGCGGTAAAACGTTTAAAACGCAGGAATAAGGACGGTAACGGCTGGGAAGAAAGTGAGTCAATACGTCTGGGGTTCAAGGGTCCCTCACTACCAATGTGTGTCTACATCTATGGAATGAAGATAAATGTCGACCCGTACGTGTTCCCAGTTACCCAGTGTTCAAGGTGCTGGCGATTTGGGCACTCCTTGCGTGTTTGTCCAAGCAAAAAGGTTGTGTGCCCTAAGTGTGGCAAAGGTCACGCTAACTGTGAGACTACCTCATATAAATGTGTGAATTGTACAGGAAACCATTTATGCCTGGATAGATCGTGTCCTGCGTTTAAAAAAGAGAAACGAATTCGTGAATTGATGGCAGAGTTTAACTGCTCTTATAGGAAGGCGTTGCAAGTATATGTTCCACCAGAACCCGTCCCTACACTGCGCGTAGAACGATTTAATTTAACTTCACCGGCAGGCCTTAGTGTGTTTCCCGAGTCTGTGCCTGAACATGTACCTAATCAGTCACAAGACATAAACGTTATTTCCTATGCAAGCGTGACCCGAGCGCCGCGTTGTGATAGTATCATTCGACAATCACAACCTAAGCAACCGGGCTCAACGAATGTTTCTCAATCATTAGAGCAGAGACCCAAGAAGAAAAAGAAACAAAGTCAAAATGAAGGGTATAACAGGGATGTATCTTCGGAATCAGAAACAATGAATAGTAATTTAGTCGATGAGTCGGAAAATGAAATTCGGTTGAGAAATGAGAGAAAAAAGAAATGCAGATCTAGTTTAAATTTGAAGCAATTGCTTGCAAAATTATATGCATTAATTTCTAACTCACAAGAAGATTTAAAGAGTAGAATAATTCAAGGAGTGTCACTATGCATTGAATGGTTGGTATCGATAGTGGGGGAATACATCTGGGACCTTCCTTTTAAAAATATACTCGGTAAGTTATGGGTATAAGCTCCCAAATAAACCTTCTCCAGTGGAATTCACAAAGTGTTAAGCCTAAATATGTAGAATTTGAGCAGTTATTAAATAGTGAAAAAATTCATAAAGAAACATAGTTAAATAGTGAGGTTAATTTTAGAATAAGTGGTTATAATGTTTTCCGTCACGATCGAGAAGACTCGTATGGAGGTGTCGCTATCATAGCTCACAAATCCGTTAAAGCGCAAATAATCCCTGTTCATTTTTCAAATCCTAGTATTGAAGTAATTTGTGTAAAAGTTTTCAACTGTAAATATATTGATTACATATTTTCTATCTACTGCCCACCAGCTATACGAACTTCTCAAAGTGACTGGGATGAAATATTTTCGTTTAAGACGAGTAAAACACTTGTACTTGGTGACTTTAACGGCCACCATTCCAGCTGGTCTTGTAAGACTGATTTGAGAGGTAGCAATATTTTTGATTCTTTGTTAGAAAATAATTTTGTTTCATTGAATGATAGTCGAGCTACGCGTGTTAAATTTGTCAACGGGAAAATGCAGGAATCTTCTGATATTTCTATTGCATCTTCGGACATAGCCTTGCACTTGAACTGGAAGGTAACTAATGAGACATTAGGTAGTGACCACTTAATTATTAAGATTTATATTTCTTATAGTAACAATAACTCGCCATTTATTCAGAGGAGAAACTTTAAAAATGCTAACTGGGATGGTTATCGTAAGTATATTAAAGATAATCTCTCAAATTGTAACCTGCTTATTGATGACCCGCAAACAGGTTACGATTTGTTCCTTAGCATAATTAACGAAGCCGCTGATGTTCACATTCCTTTGTATAGATTTAGCCAAGACCCCTCTCAACATTTTACTCCCAAACACTATTGGAATCCTAAGCTATCAAAAGCTGTTGCAGAAAGACGGCTAGCACTTACGTTGTTTCGAAAGAACCCCACCCCCGGTAATTTGAAAAAAATTGAAACATAAAATCAGAATTTCACAATTATTACTACGACAGGCTAAAAATAAATCATTCTCTAATTTTTGTTCTTCAATTGATGAGGCTACTTCTGTAACAGAAATGTGGCGCAAGATGAAGTGGTTAAAGGGTTATAGATCATCTAATACTTTTATTGACGAAGTAACGGCTAATAAGCTTTTACATAATTTAACACCAGATTTTGTCTGTCCAAAGTACCCCATTTTTTCGTCTTGTAATATAAAACTTGAGGCTCCATTTTCATTATGTGAACTAAAAAAGATGCGTTAAAGCAAAAGATACTTCACCCAGAGGCGACAATATTTCGTACTCAATGATTAAATATTTACCGGATAACGCTACAAATATTTTACTTAATCTTTACAATTTATTTTACACTCTCAGTTTTGTCCCCTCGCAATGGCGTGAAATTCTTGTAATACCAATACCTAAACCAGGTCGGGATCCATCTTCAATAGCAGCTTTAAGACCAATCTCTCTCATGTCTTGTTTATGTAAAATATCACACTCTATGTTGAAGAATAGATTAGAGTGGTTAGTTGAGAAAAGAAACCTCTTTCACGAAGAGACCACCGGGTTTAGAAAAACCAAGTCTTGTCTTGATAACCTTAGCAATTTAGTTTCTAGAATTCAGCTGGGATTTTCGAAAGATCAATTAACGGTAGGATGCTTCATTGACATTGAAAACACTTATAACAACGTGGATATTAGAGCCTTACTTTTAAATTTAGATCGCCTAGGCGCTGGTGCAAAAATTGTAAATACTTATGGACATTTTTAAAGGAAAGACAGCTAAGCATAAAAATTGATAAAAAAAATAATTTGTAGATCTACAGGTCGTGGCCTGGCCCAAGGAGACTCTCTCTCACCTATATTATTTAATATTGCTACTCTACATATATGTAAACAAGTTTCTAATGTTATGATTTCTCAATATGCTGACGATTATGCTTTATACTTAACTAGTAAAAATGTCAACCACGCATCCGAAGAACTGCAAATAGCATTGAATAAAATAAGCAACATGCTTATTGATCTGGGTTTGGACATTTCAACAACCAAAACGAAGGTATGTGTCTTCAAGAAAGGCATCAATAGACAACAGATATCGCTAAATATTAATAATAATGTAATAGAGGTAGTCAGTGCTGTAAAGTATTTGGGGATGTGGTTGGACCGCTCTTTAAAATGGAATAAACACATTACTCAGTTAGTTGATAAAACTTCTAGATACTTAAATATTTTTAAAGTTCTTGCTGGGACAGGGTGGGGAATACACCCTAAACATTTGAAAAGGTTATATATTTGGAATTGGAATTGGTTCAGCATTTTAAGACCCACAATGCAACCTTAGTCTACAATTAAAAATAGACAGTGACATAATATGCATTATGGAGGCGGAACTAATAGCAATCTGTGAGGCTTTGTCTTACGCAATATCGTTACCACAAGACAATATAGTGATATTCACAGACTCTAAAAAGCGCACTCCAACACTTGGCTCGGTGCACCTCGGGCCTACGAGGCACTCCGATAGCCTACTCAGTCCTGGACTGTATTTTAAATCTGACCTCCAAATCTAAATCCATAAAGTTACAGTGGATTCCGTCACACTGTGGTGTTGAATATAATGAAAGGGTAGACGTCTTGGCTAGACAAGCTATTACTGATGGAATTGAATATAACGTACTCCCTTATTATACAGATTACATTTGGTTAATCAAAACACAATGCTACAAATTATGGAAGGAATATTTTGATTTACGCTCTAAAGAAAAAGGTATCTGGTATAAAACGGTTCAGCCACATCCTCTCAGAATTCCATGGATTGATAGTCACATATCACCAAGAAAGGACGCAGTAGTGATTATGAGGCTGCGTTCTGGACACATTCCATGCAAGAATTTTGCTTTTATTATGAATAAAGTCCCGTCACCGAACTGTGAACAATGCGGTGTTCCCGAGGACTTAATGCATGTCTTGATGGAGTGTGCCCGCAATGCTGCCTTTCGAATAGCTAAGTGTAAAAATATTTTAAAGGAATTTGCTGATTGTAACATTATTTTATCCAATCCTCATTCCGATGAAACAAAATTATTGGCTAAATTATATAACATAATATTTTCCTCAGATCAGTCAATTAGATAGTACTTGTTTTCATTTTCATTTTTGTTTGCTTGCTAAATGGAATGTTATTTAGTTCTAAATGATGTCAAATAGAGCGACATAATCGCATTTTGATTAAGCTCTTAAATAAAGATTTAAAAAAAAAGAGTTGGTTTAGGCGAATGGAACTTTGTATAGAGCATGATGGAGAATATTTTGCAAAGGTGTAAAATAAATATTAATAGTATTTAAAATACTTTTTGAATCTCAAAACTTATTGAGTGTCCTACCTACCCCTTAAGACGGTACAGGAATGATGTTATGTAGTGTGATAGAGTAAACAATGTCTGTGCATTGTTATATAGTACATGCGATATAAACCGCGGTTGTTTTACTGGCATTTATTAAAGAGTTCCATAGTCTGATTCCGAAATTTATCATCCGATATTAACGAAATTTAAATGAGAGCATTTCAGAATAAACCTCTTTCGGACTAAAAAGAATTTAGCAAATCCATCTATATATGACGGAGTTACGCCCGAACTTACATAAAAAAATATAAACATCGTAATTGACAACCTCCTTATATTTTGAAGTCGGTAAAACATATATAACAATGTTGCAATGCGGTACCTAATTAAGACATTAAATATTTGGCATGTTAATCTAACAGACGAGGCTGTCTCGAATGATAAGCTGACCACAGCTTCCTCACACGGAGATATTATTTAATGCACACGTTCCAAATTAGAGTTCTTTATTCAAATGACTAAACGACGATATTATTTCCTTCAAGTTTCCTGAAAAAAAAACCATCGGAATTGCAGGTCCCTCGAGCATTTTAGGCCTCACGTAATAACAGTGGCAATTTTATATTCAAATGTTCACGCCAATAGTTTAATACGTACATGGGTTTAGTTTAGTACACGAATGTTTATGGTAAAGCATTTTATAAAAATTGATATATGTATACAAAATCGGTTTTAATCGTCATTTATTTAAACATAAAGTATCGTATTTAATTGGATTGAAGGCTTGCATATCATTGAAACGAAATTAATTTAAAGCTATTTACCTCGTCGAAAGTTCAATTAATCTGCAGGCAAAGAAAATAAACATTATATATAATATATATTATATTTAAAACCCTATGTATAGTTATTTTTCTTTCAAATAAATATTATGTTTCCATTTTCACTTACAAAACAAAATACTGGTACTACAATTTATGATGACTTAAATTTAAAAATATTGTAATATTAAACAGTCGTAAATTGGTGAATGAATAGGTAGCAGAAATAAAACTTCCCGCTATGAAAATCAATGATTTTGGATTTATGAAATCAAAAGATGGGGAAGTTGAAGAATGGGGAAGATTTTTGAAAATCAAGTTCTCTTCAGATCTCGATATTTCTAGGTCCTAGGAAGCTATTCTGGCTATTTTTGCGATAATTTGAAAGAACCTCGCTGAACTTACATTTTCTGTGAATTTAGACCGAATAATTGTTACGGTTGATTCCTTGGAATTACTTTGGCACCCTTGTTTTGATCAATTCTATAACATAATCAACTCTTCTACTCAAAAAACGTCATTGATTACCGTGAACCGCATCAAAATCGGATGATTCTTTCGAGAGATATCGTTGACGAAATGAATCTCAAAAAGTGTTTTTTTTTTGTTTAAATTACTTGAAAACTTTCTGTGAGATCAATTTTTTTGTTATAGGTTATATATTATATTTTTGTTAAGCTGACAAAATTGCGTCGATTGTCGTAAATCACATTAAAATCGATTGATTTGTTCGTGAAATATTCAATTTTGAAAAAAAAATAAACATGGTTTACCAAAATTATGACGTCATAATAAATGAAATTTGGAGCGCTTTGATATTGAAATTAGCGAGATTTTCGAGGGATGGCTTGCAGGGTCAACCAATTTTTTATAGATTTTTTTAAAACGTGCGTGCGTCTCGCTTTATGGTAAGTGACTACCGCCGCCCGTGAACAACTGCAACACCAGAGGAATTGCAGGTGCATCACCGGTTGTAATCAAAACTATTTTACACGAAATTTGTATATAAATAAATTGACGCGCGGAACAAGTAGGTATTTGTACGGACTACAAGTAATTGTTTCGGTTCTAGATGTTTGTCCTAGTGAAATTTGACAGTGACACGACAACGGAACGTGTCTTGGATATAAGAACCGGGTAAAAGAGAAAAGCGAATAGGACCCATAAATGTTTAGTTTGGTAATTTAGTGTAGCAAACCTAGCACAGCCATGCGACCGATATGTAAACGTTACGATTTAAGTTAAATTTTGTATTTACGTACCTACCTAGTGTTTACTTTTCATGTAAATCTAGATTTTTGTTCCTTTTTTCTAACGTCGAGCAAAACTATATCACTCAGGTATTGCTTTTTAACAATAAGTGTATAGGTTGTGCATTTTGTTTTGATATAAATATTTCTACTGAACCCTTGAATAATTTATTGTTATATAACCAGACATGGATTTTCCCGACTCGCTGTATATATAACATTAACGAGTGATCAATACAGAACATTCTAGCCGTGAATTTAACGGCACATTTTATTCGTTTTATTTTTACTTTCATCATATTTCTTTAATTTTAAACTAATAAATAATTCTAAAAAAAATTAATCAAATAGAAATTTAAACTAACAAATCATAAAGGTAATTTTTTTTGTTTTATTCAAGTATCAAAAGATTAGTTTAAATGCAGCTGAAAAGCTACTAGGTAGTGAACATTTGCAACCTTCTTCAAATAAATAGGTGTTCTTTCATTACAATTGTATAAGATTAAATTCCTTACAGTCTGTAATTGGGCTTACAACCGGAACACAGTAGTAAGCGCACTGCGGTTTGTCGGCAGATACGACCAAAGACTCGATGTATGTAACTAACTAGGTGGCATATTAACATAAATCTAATACTTCACTATTTATTTTTGTATAACAAAGTCTTATTAATCATTTAATTTTCAGACATTTATTCAATATGACCGACGCCAAAAAAGAATATCCTTTTATTCTTCGATCGCCCCACTGAACCATGTTTCATTCCGAAAGGAGAGGAAGGAGCTTGCTTCGACTTACCGGACAACTTTTACGTATGCTTTTTCATCGTCATCATCATCATTACAGGCCTTCACAAGTCCACTGCTGAACATAGACCTCCATGCTTTTTAACAGTTATCAATCACTTTTTATTAAGTTTTCATTAATAAACATAACAATATTGAAACTCTTAACACTCTCTTCACCGTTGAAGTACAAACAACTTAAAACCTTCCCATTTCTGGACTTCTGTCCTTCTGAGATGGTTATGGAACCATAAGTCTGATCGCTTCTTCAGTTGGTGTGACGAATTTTACATATCCACCAAATATTTTGTATTTAGACGTGCAGGTTTCCACGTGATGTTTTCTTCATCGCCGCGCATACAGTGAAGCTGGCGCTTATTGGCACCTCTGTACTTTACGTATAATGTCCTCCAGACCGAATTCCGGCCACGGAGGCCTGCCTCAACGGAGGCTAGCCATCGGCGCAGGACAGGGTTTTAGTGCCCAAGTGTAGCACACAAGCACAGGTGCACTCTCTATTATGGGACGGTAAACCGATACAACCGTAGAGAGATCAGGCGTAGGACCAATGGCTTTACGTGCTTTCCGAGGCACGGGGGTGAGACACCGCCAACTACCTGACTCTGGGACACTACTAAGAATTTCTTAACGGAAAACTCAATAATTAGTTTTTCGCCCGACCCGGGATTCGAACCCAGGAACTCATGATCAGAAGTCACACTACTACAACCACTAGACCAAAGAGGCAGACGTCTTTACGTATAATAAGAGCATAATATTTCATTTTTTTTAAGGAACAAAGAGTAGATATTGATTTATTTTTCATTTCAGCCGGATAAATACAAAGCGCTGAGCAATACCTTGTCCAGCAGATTTGGTTCTGACGCGCAAAGGACTATTCCTGTGCGAAACATCGCACTACCAAACCTACAGTTGCCGATGGAGTTGCCGTACAACGACCAGTTCTCTCTTTTCATTCCTAAACATCGTCAGATGGCCGGAAAACTCATTGATGTCTTCATGGGTAAGAAAAAATTTGGTACTAAAGTTGGGAACTATTAATTATGCATTGAAGTCTTGAGTTGCGACTTGTGAGGCATTGGCCCAAGACTCGAAACAGGCAAAGGACAGCTGTTTGCACGGTCTATAATATAAATAATGGTTTTGTGGTCCGGAAGTTGGTCCATGTGAAATTTATTTCAAAATACTCTATTTTTACGGTGTGATTCATATAATAATAATTTCCGATGAACCTAAATTTTTTTTCTTCTCTTGCATCATGGAAGCGTTTTAATTACATGAGTTTCATGAGGGCAAACGAGCCCAGAGCACGTAATAGTTGTACTTTGCCAAATTAAAAATTTATAAATAGCCTGTTTTTTTAATTATGTTATGTATATAAAAATGGAAAGGAACTGACAAAAAAGCAAAATGTCTTTGCCAAGTTCATTTAATAACAAGGGAAAAATATGCCACTTAGCGATTTTAACTTCCTGGTAAGAAAAATTAAAATTTTCAAAAATCGTGAAGTTATTGTTTTTACCCCGTTTTTTGATAATTGAGTTTTCACAAAATCTTGACGTTTTGGGATCACAGGAAGCCATCCTGACAATTTTTCGATGGTGTCTGTAAGTCTCTATGTATGTGTGTGGATGTATGTAAACCTCTCATAACTTTTGAATGGCTTGACCGATTGAAATGAACTAAGCGGATTTCCAAATTGTTTCATCAAACGTATAGGGTTTTTATTTTGAGAAATCTCAAAAATAAAAAATTTGAAAAACTGTTTTTTTAACTTTAAAACGGCTTTACAGTCGATCCAAAAAACCAATCAGCTTTTAATGTTGAAAAACCACGTCGATCGCCGCTGGTCCGGTCAAAATCGGTTGATTCGTATGAGATGTTTAACGAAACCTAATTTTTTTTAAATTACTCCGATATTTCATATTCAATATCATAATTTGGTGAAATTTGGAGCGCCTTGCATTTGAGATTAACGGGAAGTTCCAGGGATGGCCTGCAGGTTGCGGCATCAACCAATTTTTTTTAAATTCAATTCTTAATAATACTTCCAGAAAGTACTTATAATATCCTATACTACGATAACGACTAAAGCTTTTACAATAGGGTTATCATTTTTGCAGGTATGCGTGACTTAGAGGACTTGCAGTCCGTTTGCTCATTCTGCCAGCTGCGAATCAATCCATACATGTTTAATTACTGTTTATCCGTTGCGCTATTACACAGGTGATGGTTTTTATATACTCTTATTAATTGTAATTCACATAATAAAATTTACTTAATGTCATTAATATTTATTCTCCATAATTCAGACCTTATACAAAAGGCATGAACCTTCCAACTCTAACAGAGACGTTCCCGGACAAATTTATGGACTCAAAAGTATTCCGTCACGCTCGTGAAGTCAGTAACGTCGTCACGACAGGCCCTAGGGTAAGTCTATGAAATACTACTCATAAAGTAGGATTTTGTCGATTTTTTTAATAGAGCAGACTTATCCGCTGCGCAAGGAATTTACTGGATTCGTAGGACACATAAATTTTAAAAAAAATTGATTTGCCACGGCACAACACGTTATGGTACTCGTAGTATGAAGGGAATCCAATACACTAAAACGTCGAATTTGGGAATGTTCCCGATTGATCTCTAAAAATATATATTACCGATTGTAAAGGCATTTATTTAATTTATTTGTATAAAAATTACTAAAAAAGAAATCCTTGATTGAAGAACATGTAGTCCATAATTTATTATAGATACTAAAGAAATGGCTAAATATTGAGTATCACGCTACTTAATTTTAAGATGAAGTCTCGTTGTGTCACAGTCACTTTGACCTAAAGTGATAAATACCGCACGAGACTTACGACATCTTTAAAATTGAGTAGCGTTTGCATATTTGCGCAAAAATTCCACTCCCCCACTCCTAGTTAACTTAGTATTCGTATTCCAATTCTATGTAAATAATTATTATAACAAGTTTATAGTGAATTCACAGATAGATAAAAAAATAGATAACATATGTCTTAATATCTATATTAGCAAAAGTAGGTAATTATTTAAATAAATTCATTTATAAATATATTACTTACTTCGTATACCTCATGTCATGTCGTATACGCCTGTCTGAGTACATTTACATTCAAATGCGCTAAGAGCCTCAAAAAGTGCACCCGTGTTTCTACTTGTTTTATTTATTTACTAAAAATCTTAAATAACAAGCTGATACACAAAGATGCATCAATTTAAACACTCCAGCAGAAATCACATACGATTTAATTGCTGGTGCTGGTCTATAAATAAATAAATATAAAAATAAAATAATATAAATTACTATTGGTACTAATGGTATATTTATACATTTATTAACAAATCACTTAGTATAGTAATAAATTATATAAATTTATTAATTATAAAAATAATATTTCAGAGAATCTCCGGGAGAAAAACCGGCGACGAGGTTCGCCACCCGTCACGTTCTGTCTCCCGGAGGGGCGAAAAAGTGGATTGCGAAAACCCGTCTGGCTACGCTGAATGTATGTGGAGGAATGAATCATAAGATGGATGAAGTATGCGAAATGATGAATGACAAAGGAATAGATGTGTGAATGAGACGAAACGAAAGGGAAAGGATGCCACTGCACATGGCACGTATACCACGTATTGGTCTGGCGTAGACGAGACCGAACGGGTATGCCAGGGTGTCGGTTTCATCCTTTCAAAAAGAATGGGTCAATGTGTGAAAGAGTATGAATGTGTAAGCCCGAGGCTGCTATGGATACGAATTAAAGGGGGCTTAAATAAGCTGTTCCTGCTAGGGGTTTACGCCCCAGACATGTCTAAGCCCACTTACATCCGAGAGCAGTTTTGGGACATGGTAAGGATGATGTTGACAAAATGTAAGGAAAATGAAAATATTATTATGTTAGGAGACTTTAACGGAAGGGTTGGGGTGAAGAGGTCTGGTTATGAAAGGATATTGGGAACGTTTGGTGATGAAAGTATAAATGAGAATGGTGAAGACCTCCTCACCGTATGTGTGGAAAAGAATCTTTTTGTGACGAATACTTTTTTTCGTCATAAGAAGATTCACATGTATACATGGGAAAGAGGTGATGATAGAAGCATGATAGATTTCGTAATTGTGGATGAAAGAATGAGGAGCGCAGTCGTAGATACAAGGGTCTACTGGGGGTCCAACGTAGGGACGGATCATTACTTGGTCTTATGTCGAATTAATGGTCTTTTCAAGCGTTGGCGGCATCGGACATCTGTGTCTACCACTGCGTTACAGCGTATAAGAATAGAGAAGTTACAAGATGAAGATGTGAAAGAGAAGTATAAATGTTGACTGAGAGGAAATATTAGATGTTTGAATGAGTTGTGTATGAATGATTTAGACTTGAATACTGTGTGGGACAATATTAAGAAAGGTTTGGTGGATGCCGCCACTGAAGTATGTGGTGTAAGTAAGAGAACAAATGAAAGGAAAAGTAATACGTTGTGTTGGGATGATGAGGTACGGGTGGAAGTTGAATCAAAGAAGAAAGCATGGTTAGATTTACTAGCAACCAAAGCTGGTAATTCTTGTGGTATGAATGATGAGATTGAAAGAAAAAAGGCAGAATTTAGACGTCTATATAAGAGAGTAAAAGAAGTTGTTGAAAGGAAAAAGAAAGAAAGAACGGATAAGAATGATATAAGGATATCTGATAATTTCCATGCTAACATAAAAATGTTCTGGAAACTCGTAGGAACTGCCAGGGGAAATACAAAACAGCCTATAATGAATGCTATAAGAGACGAGAATGGATGTATTCTGAGTGATAAAGCTTCGAATTTAAACAGATGGAAGGAATACTTTGAAATCGTGTTTATGAGTGAAGAGTCGTCTGAATTAAATGAACTAGAAATTCCGAAAGAAGTGGAAAGGGGTGTGGAGATAAGTGTAGATGAAATAATGAAAGCAATGAAAAGCATGAAAGCTTGTAAGGCAGCTGGATATGATAGAGTATCACTCGAGATGCTAAGAGCTGGAGAGGGAGTGGTGGCAGGCCTGCTGTACACCTTGTTTAATTTATGTTGGGAATTAAAACGGGTACCGGATGACTGGTGTAAATCAGTTATAGTACCAATATATAAAGGAAAAGGGTCACAGCAGGACTGCAAAAACTACCGTGGTATCAGCTTGCTTAGTATTGTGGGTAAACTGTATGCTAAGGTATTAATTGAAAGAGTTATGAAAGAAACTGATGGAAAAATTTGGGATGTGCAAGCGGGTTTTAGAAAGGGAATGGGGTGTACAGATCAAGTCTTTTCCATGCGCATGATTGCGGAGAAGTTTTTGGCCAAAAACCAGAAAGTCTTTTGTGCGTTCATGGACTTGGAAAAGGCTTATGACAGAGTGGACAGGAATGTGTTATGGCAAACACTGAACTCATGTGGGTTGAGCGCTGGTTTGATACAGGTATTAAGGACTCTTTATAGGGACTCTAGTGCTTGTGTCAGGATGAATGGGGTCTACTCGGACTGGTTTGTCATCCAAAATGGTGTCAAACAGGGCTTTGTAGCTTCCCCTTGGCTGTTCAACCTATTTATTGACAGGTGTTTGCAAACTTTGAAAGATGAAGAGTATGGGTTAAGAATGGGCGAGTTAACCGTCAAATGCCTTTTGTATGTCGACGATCAAGTCATATTTGCGTCATCAGCGGCTGAGTTGCAAATGATGGTTACATTCATGAACTGGGAATTAAAAGAAAGGGGAATGTAAGTGAACGCAAGTAAGACGAAAGTGATGGTTTTTGAAAGAGAAGAAAGCAAAACGGTATGTGAAATAAGAATAGAAGGAGAGTTAATTGAGCAAGTGGATGAGTTTGTGTATTTGGGATGTGTATTTAGCAGGGATGGTAGATATGATAGGGATAAAGAACGACGAGTAAATGCAGGGAATAGAGTGAATGGGGCACTACACTCTATTATGAAGAACCAGAATGTGTCAAAAAAGGCACGTATTGTAATTCATAATGCTCTGTTAGTCCCTACTTTAATGTATGGTAGTGAAAGCTGGGTGTGGCAGAAGAAGCACGAAAGTAGAATAAATGCTGTAGAAATGCGGTCTTTAAGGAGTATACTAGGGTTGAATCTGAATGACAGGGTGAGAAATTGCGTGATAAGAGATAAATGTGGTATGCAAGATGATGTTGTGACCAGGATTAAGAAAGGAATGCTTCGGTGGTTTGGTCATGTAGAAAGAATGAATGAGGAAAGAGTGACAAAGCAAATTTATATGGCAGATGTGAACGGCCGAGTCGGGAAGGGACGCCCTAGAAAAAAGTTTATCGACCAAATTGACGATATTTTGAAAAAGGGGCCACGTTAGAAGTACCCTTAACCGACGAGCATGTATGCGTAGATATATGGCTGTAAAGGCGGCGAAAGAGGTATGTCAGGATCATGCCAAATGGAAGTCCGTAGTCTCTGCCTACCCCTCTGGGTGACAGGCGTGAGTGTTTATGTTTATGTTTTATGTAAATAATATTTTACGCTGGTATTCTGTGAGAGCGTGGTTCTTCCCCGGTCGAGCCGATCCATTCGTGTCACTATACTACTAATGTAACTGCAGCATGGTTCTACCAGATATCAATTTGATTAGAAACTCTTTTTGGGATCTTTTAGCAAATTAAAATTACGTTAAGAGTATTGTGCTATATATTAATTTGGTATAATAAACTATTATACCAAATTAATGCGAAAAAAAGTTCTGTAACAAAGATACTACCTGTTTTATATTGAATATGCCTGATACTGGACAATTCAAAGAGCACATATAATGTTCTTATTTATTTAACTATTCACTCAACAGATGCCGGTTATCATACCGCAAAACTATACTGCGTCGGATTCGGAACCAGAACAGCGTGTAGCGTACTTCCGGGAAGACATTGGCATTAACCTACACCACTGGCACTGGCATCTTGTCTACCCCTTCTATGCGTCTGATCGAGCCATCGTGAATAAGGACAGGAGAGGAGAGCTCTTTTACTATATGCATCAACAAATTGTTGCCAGGTTCTAAATTTTATTTTGACTTCCATCCATCAATCCATTCATTCATTACAGTCTTTAAATTCCTATGCTAGACGTAGGCCTCTCCTACAGGTTTCCTCATGGGGAGAGGGGGTCTCCATAATTGCCATGCTTGGCAGGCGGATTAGCAATCGCGGATACTGTTCAGTTTTCGTTTGTCGCCTCTTACGACTCTTACATCGATGAATGATAACGAAAAGTGTACTAAGAGGCTTATTAGTAACCCGAATTTGGTTAAAACCACGAACACAGTAGCCAGCCTTTCTGTTTTCTCCAGGATGCATTTCGGAGAGTGTGCACGGGTATTTCATACTTTAATTCCTCCCTCTCCCTCCCACCATCATTCTACTTCGCTCCATCCACCAGACGTTCGGCCAGTCTCCACGCTTTTGTTGTTTACTTCCACGCATTACTTTTTACGCACGCATTACGCACGCGAACCAAACGATTTGTTTAATCGTTCATCATACGTACGGTAAAGGAGTGGAATTAATTGCCAGCATCTGTCTTTCCATCCGCTTACAATGTGGGTGTCTTCAAGGCAAGAGTGAATAGGCTTTTGTTGGGTCAGTGCGGTTCACCATTTTAGGCTACATCACCACTTATCATCAGGTGGGATTGTAGTAAAGCGCTGGCTCATAATCGTGCTTTGAAACAACCTATGGGTCAGAGATATGCTTAGCAGAATAAGTGTGATGGACTGTAATTATGATGTGATGGTGTAAATATGTCAACTGCTCCATATCGTCTCGTGGGTGCCGTAAGAGGCGGCAGAGAAGAAAGACTCTCACAGAATAATATCGCAAAGTAGCAGCTTAACGCTGCTGTATTTCTTTTTTTTATTTTACAGTAGATGGTGACAAACTAGCTATTTATAAAAATTAATATTCTTATTTTTCTTAACACATAAATGTTATATGTGTACACATATTTTATCTTATACATACTATACAGGCATACAAGCAGACAGATTTTAATTTGCTACAGCGCCATCTAGTGACAAGATACATCAAAATGGCACAAAAACCTCTCTATTTTAAAATATATTTATGTGCCAACTCATAGTGATCATCATCATTACAGCCCTTCACAAGTGCACTGCTGAACATAGAACACCTCATACAAGCAATGCCCCAAAGCACGGTGCATCCATCAACTTCCTGCATATCTTACCAGGTCGTCATTCCATCTTACGTCCCACACTTCGCTAACCGGTACGAACCTTTCTTTTCCATCGGTTGTCGATTCTTCGAGCTATGTAGCCGGCCCATTGCCACTTCAGCTTACTAATCGGTTGGGCTACGTCAGTTACTCTGGTTCTACTGTCGATATCCTCATTCTAAGTTTATCATGTAGATAAACACGCTGTGTGAACTTGAGCTACCTCACACGGCCAGGAGTGAAGGACCAAGTCCCAGATCTCAGATTCATAACTCATCACTGGCAACACGCAATGGTTCCAGTGATGATTCCATATTTTTCTCGAGTCTACCTCTTTTAACAAGTATAGTTTTTCAGAGTAACCACTGCAGTCAAATTCAAAATATTTTTTTGCATCGTGAACAAAGTAATGCTTTTTTTGCAATGATCTTATATGTAAAAGAGTACAATGATCAATGATCTTATATGTAAAAGAGACTTTTACATATAAGATCATTGTTTTTTTATTCAATTTTCTGTTTACATATTTCACATGTTACCATTGGCGACATCTTGTGAATGACTTTTGAATTGGTTTGTTGCGCTGTCGTTTTTTTGTTGCTTAGCATTGTAAAATTGTGATAATTATTAGATTTTATTGACTGATAAGTGCGTTGTAGATAGACGTCACCGTTTTATTAAAGAAGGAAATAAAATAAAATCTAATCCAAAACCTTCTAGTGCTTCGCTCTGGATGAATTTATTTTGATTTGATGATATTGTTATTGCTATCACACAGTAGATTGTGTGAGTCGATTTTTATTTGTTAATTATATCGTTAAAATCAAATTATTTAGCTAATCTACAAACAGATGTCACTGTATTGTCTCTATGTCGGTAAAACAGATCATCAAGTTAATTTAACTTACCCACAACAGATGTCAATGAACTGTCTCTTTAATAATAATTACAAGTCAGTGTCGATAAAACATTGTAAATTTCAAATCAAATAATAGCTTATTTTTGTTAACAAAGTAGTATTATTAATGAATTTTAGTAGAAATTGAAGATATCAATGCAACTAATATTTCGTCGCTTTCTTTGTTATTTATATACACTTGAGATATTGTTACGAGCTTGAGGTTCGTGACAATAAAAATTGCCGATAGAATTAGATAAATTAACACTTTAATTTTCTTTACACAAAATAAAGTTTAAAACACCAATAATTAAGCACACTAATTCACTTTATTCCGCTCCGAAGCTTCGCTTATCTCGCCGAATTCAATACTTTTCCGATCGCATCTTGCAGCGCCTATAAATATAAATTAGCACCGAAATATCCAGAATATTCAAGTAAACACGCGCAAGGTACCGAGAGTTCGAGTTTCAACTTCTATAAGTTTAGTTCTTCGGTTCGAGACTAGATGGCGCTGTTGGCTGAAAGATTAGTGATGTCAATTTCTGGAAAGCTCCCCTCGCTCTCGTTTCTGACACTAGATGGCGCTAGTGCCGTCGACTTAGGTGCGTAACACTGCCCCCTCCTAAGACATGCTCGTCCCGAGCATTATCGGCCCCATAATAACGCGCCAGGCGATCCACATGGACGATCTTAGGAGTCCCTCTTGCGCCTCTGTATCCGGTAGGTTACATCGTTGATCCTGGTCACAATCCGGTACGGGCCGTCCCATTTAGCTTGAAGCTTAGGAGATTTCCCTTTGCTGCGGACTGGATTGTGCAACCACAATAGTGAACCTTCGTCGAACCCTTTGTTGTTCATTTTGCGGTCGTACCGGGTTTTCATCTTTTCAGACATTTGCTGGCCCGATTGTCTGCCGTGCTCATAAATGTCATTCATTTTGTTTCGCAAGTCATTTGCATAATCGGTTATACTGCGTGGAGCATCAGCTGGTATCCCGGTGATCAGGTCCACAGGCAGCCGTAATTCTCTCCCAAAGTTTGCGAAAGCTGGTGTCACTGATGTACTTTCGTGAACAGCGCTTCGATATGACAACAAAAACGGTTGTATGTGCTTGTCCCAATCTCGTTGCCGATTGTCTACAACTTTTGCTAGGTACCTCTCCAATGTCTGATTAAATCGTTCTACCATTCCGTCAGATTGCGGGTGATAAGAAGTCGTTCTTGTTTTATGAGTACCCATAACTCGGCAAGTTTCCTGGAATATTTGAGACTCAAAATTCCTTCCTTGATCGCTGTGAATCTCTAAAGGTACTCCAAAACGACAGAAGACTTCATGAACTAGCTTATCCGCAACTGTTGAAGCTTCTTGATTTGGAATGGCGAAGACTTCTGGCCACTTAGTGAAGTAATCCATCACAACCATGAAATACTTATTACCGCTTTCACTCTCCGGAAACGGCCCCGCCACGTCAATGGCTATTCTCTCCCATGGTGCACCAACATTGTACAACTTCAATGCACCTTTACTACGAATGTGAGGTCCCTTTACAGCCGCACAACTTGTACATTTGCGACACCAGTCCTCGACATCGTTTCGACAGTGTACCCAGTAAAACCATTCTCGGATCTTCAGTAGAGTGCGTTTAACTCCCAGATGGCCTCCTGAACAATCATTATGGTACAGCTGTAGAACATTCGGTACTCTAGCTTTAGGGACGACCATTTGCAAATGACAGCTGTCTCCCCGAACATTTTTCCATTTACGGCACAGGACTTCATCCTGAATCAGCAAGCTGTCCCATTGGGCCCAATAGCTTTTCGTAGTTGAACTCATCGCTGAGACGTCGCTCCACTTAGGCTTGGTAGCACGGGCCTTCATCCATTCCAGAATCGGCTTGATGTCCGGATTTTCCTGCTGTGCATGTCGTAGGCTGTCCTTCCACTTGTTGCTGAGGTGGTCTGTCCTGAGCATCCTCACGGATACCACTTCCTTACTCTCTTGCCTAGTACAATGTTTCCGATCTTCAGGACAAGGTCTTTTTGACAATGCATCTGCGTTGCCATGAGATTTCCCGCTGCGATGTCTGATAGTAAAGTCGTATCGCGGCTGCTGCTGGGCGGTGATGTTAGCCGCACTTCCCTTCTGAGATCGTTCACCTTCCCTTTCTACTATCCGCTTAGGGCAGCTGGATCGCAGATGGCCCCTTTCCCCACAGCCATAGTACCTAGGGCTGTATCTTTTATTGTGGTCGCGAACCGTAACTGCTACAACCTCCCTAGCGCGAGGGAAACGACGATCCTGCCACCGCCAGGCGGTGCCGTTAGCTGCACTACCCTCTTGAAATCGATCAATTTCCCTTTCTATGGTTCGCTTAGGGCAGCTGGATCGAAGATGGCCCTTTTCCCCACAGCCATAGCACCTAGGGCTGTATCCTCTGTTGCGGTCGCGAACTGTAGCTGATGCAACCTCTCTGACGCGATGGGAACGATGATCCTGCCGAACGGCCTCTACCTCCAGTGCATGGGCCAAGGTGTTCTTAAGCGTCTCGTGATGCCCGAGCCTCACAGCAGCTCTGACTTCCAGGTCGCGGATGCCGTCGATGAATGTCTACACCAGGTTCCCTTCAATGAGCGCAGGTGCAGACCGGTATGCTTTTCGCACCAGCTTCTCCACCTCTAGAGCCCACTGCTGCAGGTTTTCGTTGATGCGCTACACGCGATCTTTAAGCTGCGCACGCAAGACGTGTTCCAGGTGAGCGTCACCATATCTCGCCTCCAATGCCTCAAGGAGTTGCTCATAAGTCACTTCCTCACCCAGAGCTTCCAGAACTGTTAAGGCTTGGTCGCGCAGGCTTAGTGTGAGAGCAGTCATGGCCCGACTTTTATTCCAGCCGTTCGCCTTCATAACAGCCCCGAATTGGATTTTGTAGGCTGGCCAGGAAGAAGTCCCGTCGAACGGTGGCACCTTGAACCCACGTAGTGAAGGTGTTGTAGCTACTACGGGAGCTTCACGTCAGCCATTACGTTGTCAACCCGATTGTTTACTTGGTCGATTCGGGTTTCAGCTTCCGACAGGCGGTTGTCATGTTGAGCAACCTTATCCTTCACCTCACGTATCTCTTTTCCGAAGGTTACGTGAAGGTCCTTCATGAGGAGCATCTGCTCTTCCTTATCGCGTTGGAGATGCTCTTCTAAACGACGGGCCTGTTCCCCCTGCCGGCGGGCCTGTTCCTCCCGTCCACCCCGCAGCCGCTCTTCCAATCGGCGGGCCTGTTTCTCCTGTCCGCACTGCAGCTGCTGCAGCATCACCATCAGAGCACCTAAGTCAGGTTCCACAGACGTAGGAGCTGCTGACGGGTCGGCTTCTGTGGCCAGCGGCTGGCCCTCAGACATCTGCGGCGTTGCACCCCCAAATCGTCTCTGGTCCGTCTCCTGCTGACGTTGACTTTGGGTAAGGACACCCTCCATTTCGTCCTTAGGTAAAATCGGCATGATTTTATCCCACTTCTGACACCAATTGTTACGAGCTTGAGGTTCGTGACAATAAAAATTTCCGATAGAATTTTCTAAATTAACACTTTAATTTTCTTTACACAAATTGAAGTTTAAAACTCCAATAATTAAGCACACTAATTCACTTTATTCCGCTCCAAAGCTTCGCTTGACTCGCCGAATTTAATACTTTTCCGATCGCATCTTGCAGCGCCTATAAATATAAATTAGCTCCGAAATATCCAGAATATTCAAGTAAACACGCGCAAGGTACCGAGAGTTCGAGTTTCAACTTCTATAAGTTTAGTTCTTAGATTCGAGACTAGATGGCGCTGTTGGTTGAAAGATTAGTGATGTCAGTTTCTGGAAAGCTCCCCTCGTTCTCGTCTTTGACACTAGATGGCGCTAGTGTCGTCGACTTAGGCGCGTAACAATATATATTGATTGTGCTTATTGCATTATTCCTGATATAACTATAATAACAAGTTTAGCGGGGAAAATAGTACTTTTTATATTTTTAAATTGATAAAATACGCAGAGCCTATGTTTTCTGTGACACATAAGCGACACCTTTAATAGGCGAGACCGACGAGATGTGTCGTAATCATGGTGATCAATTAAACTCAAGCAGAATTGTTAACTTCTGACATATTTACTTTAACTTACTAATTTACTTACTTGAGTTTCTTACAGATATAACGCTGAGCGAATGTGCAACAATCTCGGACGTGTAACTCGTTTTAACAATTTCCGCGAGCCTATTTCTGAAGGATATTTCCCCAAACTGAATTCCCAAGTTGCTAGTCGAACTTGGCCCCCAAGGTATGATAATCAAGTATACTAATCATCGTAAGTACTTCAATAAAATATTTTTGGATACTATGTAGTTGATGGATAGTATTTAGAACCTTTTTTTACTGGAACGAGAAATTCCATCTTAGTCCTCAGGATTGACAATGCATCTGCGTTTTGATTTTTAATCAAGGAGAAATGTAATGTCTATGGACCACAGCATCCTCATACCATCATGTGGACTGTATGCTCGTTTGTCACCCCATAAAAAAAGACTTATAGCAAATAATAAAGCTTTGGCACAATTGAGAAGGCTCGACCGGGTATAAAGGATCACACTCTTACACATTAACAGTGTTAAATATCACAAAAATGCTGCTAATGAAATCTGAACACCCATTTCACTCGACAAAATGTTCATAGGTTGATGTAGAAGATGAAGACAAACTTAAATATTTTTTTGAATTTAGATTTACGGGATCCATCATTCAGAACTTGGATAGGCCAGTAGATCAAATCAAAAGCGAAGTCTCTGATCTGGAAACTTGGAGAGACCGCATTATCCAGGCCATCGAGAATAATGCAATCCTTTTGGTTAGTGAATAAGTTTCTATTTTATTATTATATATTATATATATTTTATTATTTTTATCCTAGATCTTTTAGCCTAGCAATCAGACTACTAGTTCTGAGTCCACCTTGGTAGGTATTGTTGCGCGCCATAATTGCCTGGTACGTGCCATTAACATCATCTAGTATCGAGTAGCAGAACTAGGAGGGCTTTCTCTAGAAATTCCATTCTAGAACTTTCCCAATAGCGTCATTTAGTATCGAGCGGCAGAACTAGGAGAGAACTTTCTAAACTTAGTCGGTCGGGACCGGTATGTACTCGAACATTCTACATGTTTCAGTAGAAAAGGTCCTATATAAGTATGGTATTGACCGCGAGCCGGATCAGTATTGAATTGGCAAATCAAGCGAATACTTCGAAGCAAATAACTCCGAACTTACGTTTTCATTGTGATTGATTGTTTATTAGTGTGCTTTAAGTTATAATTTGTGACCGGTAATTAAAGTGTCAACTTTGGTGATTCAATCGGGAGTTTTTATTGTCACAAACCCTAAGCTCGTAACAGTACATCTTCTAATTATACCGGCCGCCAACCATGTACTGCTGTGTTCCGGTCTGAAAGGTATGGAGAGCTTGTATGTGTACACAAGCTATAAAGGATTCCATTAGGGTAATCAGAAGTGAGTACGCATTTTTATCCTTTTTTGTTAAAACTTAAAGGTGGACTTGAGCGAGAGTCACGTACCATCAGGTGAACTAGTAAAGTTTGATAATTGATAGAATCAGGCGTTACTTTGCGGAAATCCATTATAATAAAAAATAAAAATATAAATTTCTTCGCAACCTTCCGCCAAACAAATTGTTGTTTGGCGGAAGGTTGCGAAGAAATTTATATTTTTATCTTTTAGTAAAGTTTGTTTGTCCTTTCAAATTTATATAGAAAAATAAGATTCAACACTGTGCTTACGTTTGTACAAATTCACAAATCGTCTATAGACACGAACATCCATGTTCCGGCGGATATCAAACCAGGGTTGCCAACGTTTATAAAATTTACGGTAAGCGCTTAGCCTCTGAACTACCATGGCTTTTGCAAGTTAAATTTATGGTGGTTACATAATAAAATTTATTATAATTACAGACTGTGAGGCATTTCGCATTCAATAGTAACGTGGTAAATAGCTATACGTGGTAGAGCCATGCTTTATTATTATGGTTGTAGCTCGAATGGGTTAGCTCGACTAGACAAGGACCACTTATACGTGGTGGAGCCATGCTACAGTTATACTAGTAGAATGGTTGTAGCACGAATGGGTCGGCTCGACCGGGGAAGAACCACGCTCTCACTGAATACCAGCGTCAAATAGTAGCTTAATGCTGCTGTGTTTCGTATGGTGAGTGTAGAGAACCGGAGACCTTTTTTACTGGAAACGAGGCATTTCATCTTAGTTCTCAGATACTTAATCGAGAATAGATATAGATGTCTATGGGTCACAACAATAACTTAACATCAGGTAGACCATGCTTATTGTTCATCGTTATTTTATAAAAATATTCTTAGTTCTTTTATCACGTTAGTGCATAACAAGTTTCCTTTCCGTGAAAAAGACACAATAGTTAAGCAATCGAAATGTTCTTAAATGACTCACTTAATGTAACTTCTCTTGTTTTCTAATATAACAGCCTAATGGTCGTCAAATGCCTTTGGACGAAGAGACCGGAATCGACGTGCTCGGGAACATTATGGAGTCTTCAATCATCAGTCCCAACCAGTCATACTATGGGAACATGCACAATATGGGACACGTCTTTATCTCATACGTCCACGACCCAGATCATCGCAATCTTGTAAGTTCCAACTCCTTGTATTTAAAAGTCGATTATATACTATTGTGCTGATTTACCACGTGCTCGCCGGTGAAGGAAAAGGTCGTGAGGAAACTTGCATGTCTGAGAAATAAGAAAAAAATATTTCGAAGACATTTAAAGTTTAAAAAAGCTTAAGAAAAGAACAAGTACCGTAAAACCCTCTCAGAAATGAACGGACGCCTATGCCCAGGAGTAGGACTTATATAGGCTGTAACTTTATTATACTATTCTAGAAATTACTAGATGGAGTGACGACCTGGTAAGATGAACAGAAAGTCAATGGCTTAGAATTGCTTTATGGAATTCCTTGATGGAGGCCTACATTCAGTAGTGGTAGTGGACCTAATGATGATAATGCTAAAAATTATATAATTATTTTTGAATGCTATACTTTAAGGGAGCATGTGTTTTAAGTATTTGTATACCAGGTGGTTGAACTTTTTTTCTGTCTAGAAGTCCGTGTGTAGGTACTACATTCTTACCAATTTCTGCTGTTTTGTTATAGTTCGAAGGGTATACAGTAGGTAGGTAGTTAGATAGTCATCCTTGAGAATGAAGCACTGAGAATTAAGGAAAGCTTATCGCTCATACGTGGTGGAGCCGCGCTGCAGCTATAAGTATAGTACGAATGGGTCAGCAGGTCAGTAGGTCGACCAGGGATGGACCACGCTCTTACAGAATATCCGCGTAAAATAGCATTTTAATAATGCTGTGTTTCGTATAGTAGGTATATAGATTCGAAGACCTTTTTTTACTGCAAACGAGGCATTCCATCTTAGTCCTCAGGGGTGACAACGCATCTGCGTTTTGATTATTAATCGAGGATAAATATAAATCTTACAGTGAGACTGAGCTCTAGCTCAGCAATATTGCCAGTGATAGTTTTGCTCATATGTTATGTGCAACACCTTGCGAGGTATTCCAATAATACGGCTAATAATGTTGCATCAAACGTATCGTCAAGCGACTAAGTTAACAAACGCATAGCAACATTGACGCAAAGGAGCCATCCATAAACTACCTACGTCAAAAAAATGTCCACTGATATTCTCTTCTATCATCATATTTACAGCCGTTCGCAAGTCCACTGCTATATAATGGACTGCCCCAAGAAATGCCACAAAGCAAAGAATTCTCAATCTTATCTTCTTATCTTATAATAAATTTGTAGAAAGGTCGTGTCTGTAATTCTAATATTTTCTAGAAAAACAAGTCCAGGGACTAAGCAAAGGGTACTGAAGCCATATTAGTGGTTTTTAGAATTTTTGTCTGTCTGTCTGTGTATTAAAGATTCACGTAAAACTACTAAACAGATTTCCATGAAATTTTATGAGTAGGTAGTTAGAGACTCGAGGCTACTTATAAGCCACTTTTTATCCGATTACAGAACTTCAAAAAAGGAGGGTTAAGTATTTTCCTTCCTTTAGATGTTAATTTCTATTTTACACGGTTGATGTGTTCTATGAAAATAAATAAAATATTTATAAATAAAGCCCAACATTAGTTTTAACCGTTATGTTATAAATTGAACTTCGCCACAAACTACAATATTATTTTTGCATTCAATTTTTCAAAACAGTGCCATCTAACGTAAAATACAAAAAGTAATGACATTTTGCCTCCACTAGTTATTTTTATTTGAAAATTCTAATGTAATTTTTTTAGTTTTTGTTATTACAATATAGTAGATAGTAATAAATTTTATACTAATAATTTACTTCTTAAAAAAAGATAATAGTGACATCTATCGAAAATCATTAATTTAACGATGTTTCTAAGTTAAATTTTTAATCAATAAAAAGTTTTAATGTTTAGTTTTTTTTTATCTATAAGTAAACTGATTAAAATTGCAATTAGTACAAAACTCTTATTATTCTTATAGTTTCAATAAAAAGATTTTTATATATGTATTGATTATATCTTAGAATTTATAATATCATAAATTTGCGATTATTGAAAGTGAAATGGCGGTATTTCATAAAATTTAGCAGTATTTGTTGACTATATAATGATAAAGCTTGACCAATTCAATGAAAAGAGATTGTTTGGCGATATTAACAACTAAACACGACATTGCTACTTGTAGACGCTAATGTTGTAAATATAAATACAAAGTCTTTATCTTATCTATATAATATTAATACCTTGAAACTAATAAATCGATCTAGCTAGAATTCGCTTTTAGAAACTGTCATTTTATTCGTGTTTTCGGGCAATAAAAAAACTGCTACAATATCATTAGCATACGAAGGTAAATTTTGCCAGTACAGTACAGGTAATAAGAGTCGATCCCGAAATCGTAGTACCCCGAGTTCGAGTCAAGATTTCATCGGTATGAATTTATTCCTTTTTTTCTTCAAGTTCCCTTTACCTTTTTATTTCGAGCCCTTTTTTAGTATTTTTTAAAAAAACACAAATAATTGAATTAAATTAATTGCTCTCATGATTTTTTCTTTAATAACCATATAACCAGTTCAGTTTTTTTTATTATGTGGATAAGATCGAAAAATATTATTCATATTTCATCAGTATGTACTTTGTATCTAAATATAATTTCGAAAACACGATTACCAAAAAAAAACATCCTGAGCAAATCTCGGGCATCCAGTTACTTTTATAAAAATCAATTGCTGTATGTTTAACTGGCTAAAACTCAATAGCAGCTACACTGATTTTGATGAAATTTTTGTTTTTGTTTCAATAGGTCACACTTGTGAAACCCCCCTCCCCCCCGGGTGTGACGTCACATATTTTTCAATTTTGTATTTCAAAAGTAATTAAATTAAATCAGCATTTATTCCATTTTTTTATTTCAATAAAAATATCTTTAATAAAATAAAAATAAAGTAAAATATTTTTGGTAATGGACAAAACAAAATAATCAAAGAACGATAAACGGTTAATAATGTTAATACAAGATTTTGTATCTTGTATTAACATTATTAACGAGTTAAATTGTCTTCGCCTGGATGAGTCTTTAATACTCTAGCTGTTAAACATTTGTCAGGTGACAACTGATTTGATAGCGACTTTTGGTTTAAAACATATAAATTGCACGTTTAGTATTTTAGATTTTAACATGTGTTGTCACATAGCTTTTAACCCTTATCCCTTGTCACACAACGTCACATTTTGTTGGCTTCCTACCTACACCCCCATCCTTGAAGTGTTATTTATGGATGGACCCTTAGCTACGTTGATTTAGACAGCAACTTAAAGGCTAGACAGTTGCTGCTAATAAAAAAAACAATAAAACTTGTCGTTTTACGAGGGTTTTTATCAGTAAAGTGCACATAATGACGATTTGGCATGACTAGAGTTATTCCGGTCCTTAGAATGATGTATATTTCAGGAACAATTTGGCGTAATGGGTGATTCTGCAACAGCCATGCGAGATCCAGTGTTCTACCGTTGGCATGCTTACGTTGATGACATTTTCCAACTGCACAAGAATAAGTTACCAGCTTATGGCAACAACAAAGTGAGTCATTTTTTATTTATTGATTTATTATTTTGCATATATTATTCAATATAATACAATACTATTTATTGTTCACCCAGAAAAAATAAACAAATATTGAAGAAAAACAAAAGGCCATCGATTTGCTACATAACAATTTCTTCCAGACAACCCAGAAGAACGATTTTATTAAAAAATGTTACAATAAATTACATAATTTCTATTATAAACTTAATAAACTGTTATAGTATTATAGAGGTTGTTATCAGAAGGATATTGCTGCCTCCTCTTTCATTTTTCATCTCATCGTACAACATCCTCGGGACTAATTTAAGGTGAAGCTACCAAGGCTTACTAAGTTTTACATTTTTATGTAATATATTTTAGCTGGAGTTTCCCGGTATCCGAGTGGCATCGATCGCTGTGGAAGGTAAAGCTGGAAGGAATACATTCGCAACGCACTGGGAACAGAGCACGGTAGATTTGGGCCGTGGGCTGGACTTCACTCCGCGTGGCAGCGTACTGGCCCGCTTCACGCATCTCCAGCACGAGGAGTTCAACTACGTGTGAGTCATCGGTATCATTCTAATAATGACCTCCAGACCGAATTTCGATTACGATGGCCAGTTCAATTAGGTTGTCAGACCGTCGTTATTCACCCCAGGATTAAGATGCCCTACGCATTACGTCATCGATGACGTAATCGATGGATCTCATCGATCATGCTTGGGTTTTGCGTAACGAAAAGTTCAAAAATTTTATTAAACTATGTTTGTATAAAAAGTGTTATTATAATATTAAGGAATTTATGGATGATAATAACCCCTGGGAAGGGTGATCGCTACCAAGATATTTCCAATTTGTCTTGTGTTGTTAATTGGTCGGTGGTCGGTTAATCGGCGACGAGGTTCGCCACCCGTCACGTTCTGTCTCCCGGAGGGGCGAAAAGTGGATTGCGGAAACCCGTCTGGCTACGTTGAATGTATGTGGAGGAATGAATGATAAGATGGATGAAGTATGCGAAATGATGAATGACAGAGGAATAGATGTGTTATGTGTGAATGAGACGAAACGAAAGGGAAAGGATGCCACTGCACATGGCACGTATACCGCGTATTGGTCTGGCGTAGACGAGACCGAACGGGCATTCCAGGGTGTCGGTTTCATCCTTTCAGAAAGAATGGGTCAATGTGTGAAAGATCATGAATGGGTAAGCCCGAGGCTGCTATGGATACGAATTAAAGTGGGCTTAAAGAAACTGTTCCTGCTAGGGGTGTACGCCCCAGACATGTCTAAGCCCACTTACATCCGAGAGCAGTTTTGGGACATGGTAAGAATGTTGTTGATAAAATGTCAGGAAAATGAAAATATTATTATGTTAGGAGACTTTAATGGAAGGGTCGGGGTGAAGAGGTCTGGTTATAAAAGGATATTGGGAACGATTGGTGATGAAAGTATAAATGAGAATGGTGAAGACCTCCTCACCGTATGTGTGGAAAAGAATCTTTTTGTGACGAATACTTTTTTTCGTCATAAGAAGATTCACATATATACATGGGAAAGAGGTGATGATAGAAGCATGATAGATTTCGTAATTGTGGATGAAAGAATGAGGAGCGCAGTCGTAGATACAAGGGTCTACTGGGGGTCCAACGTAGGGACGGATCATTACTTGGTCTTATGTCGAATTAATGGTCTTTTCAAGCGTTGGCGGCATCGGACATCTGTGTCTACCACTGCGTTACAGCGTATAAGAATAGAGAAGTTACAAGATGAAGATGTGAAAGAGAAGTATAAATGTAGACTGAGAGGAAATATTAGATGTTTGAATGAATTCTGTATGAATGACTTAGACTTGAATACTGTTTGGGACAATATTAAGAAAGGTTTGGTGGATGCCGGCACTGAAGTATGTGGTGTAAGTAAGAGAACAAATGAAAGGAAAAGTAATACGTTGTGGTGGGATGATGAGGTACGGGTGGAAGTTGAATCAAAGAAGAAAGCATGGTTAGATTTACTAGCAACTAAAGCTGGTAATTCTTCTGGTATGAATGACGAGATTGAAAGAAAAGAGGCAGAATTTAGACGTCTAAATAAGAGAGTAAAAGAAGTTGTTGAAAGGAAAAAGAAAGAAAGAACGGATAGGAATGATATAAGGATATCTGATAATTTCCAGGCTAACATAAAAATGTTCTGGAAACTCGTAGGAACTGCCAGGGGAAATACAAAACAGCCTATAATTAATGCTATAAGAGACGAGAATGGATGTATTCTGAGTGATGAAGCTTCGAATTTAAACAGATGGAAGGAATACTTTGAAATCGTGTTTATGAGTGAAGAGTCGTCTGAATTAAATGAACTAGAAATTTCGAAAGAAGTGGAAAGGGGTATGGAGATAAGTGTAGATGAAATAATGAAAGCAATGAAAAGCATGAAAGCTTGTAAGGCAGCTGGATATGATAGAGTATCACTCGAGATGCTAAGAGCTGGAGAGGGAGTGGTGGCAGGCCTGCTGTACACCTTGTTTAATTTATGTTGGAAATTAAAACGGGTACCGGATGACTGGTGTAAATCAGTTATAGTACCAATATATAAAGGAAAAGGGTCACAGCAGGACTGCAAAAACTACCGTGGTATCAGCTTGCTTAGTATTGTGGGTAAACTGTATGCTAAGGTATTAATTGAAAGAGTTATGAAAGAAACTGATGGAAAAATTTGGGATGTGCAGGATTAGAAAGGGAATGGGGTGTACAGATCAAGTCTTTTCCATGCGCATGATTGCGGAGAAGTTTTTGGCTAAAAACCAGAAAGTTTTTTGTGCGTTCATGGACTTGGAAAAGGCTTATGACAGAGTGGACAGGAATGTGTTATGGCAAATACTGAACTCATATGGGTTGAGCGCTGGTTTGATACAGGCATTAAGGTCTCTTTATAGGGACTCTAGTGCTTGTGTCAGGATCAATGGGATCTACTCGGACTGGTTTGGCATCCAAAAATGTGTCAGACAGGGCTATGTAGCTTTCCCTTGGCTGTTCAACCTATTTATGGACAGGTGTTTGCATACTTTGAAAGATGAAGAATGTGGGTTAAGAATGGGCGAGTAAACCGTCAAATGCCTTTTGTATGCCGATGATCAAGTCATATTTGCGTCATCGGCGGCTGAGTTGCAAATGATGGTTACATTAATGAACTGGCAATTAAAAGAAAGGGGAATGAAAGTGAACGCAAGTAAGACGAAAGTGATGGTTTTTGAAAGAGAAGAAAGCAAAACGGTATGTGAAATAAGAATAGAAGGAGAGTTAATTGAGCAAGTGGATGAGTTTGTGTATTTGGGATGTGTATTTAGCAGGGATGGTAGATATGATAGGGATATAGAACGACGAGTGAATGCGGGAAATAGAGTAAATGGGGCCCTGCACTCTAATGTGAAGAGTCAAAATGTGTCAAAAAAGGCACGTATGGCAATTCACAATGCTGTGTTGGTCCCTAATTTAATGTATGGTAGTGAAAGCTGGGTGTGGCAGAAGAAGCACGAAAGTTGAATAAATGCTGTAGAAATGCGGTCTTTAAGGAGTATGCTAGGGTTGAATCTGAATGACAGGGTGAGAAATTGCGTGATAAGAGATAAATGTGGTATGCAAGATGATGTTGTGACCAGGATTAAGAAAGGAATGCTTCGGTGGTTTGGTCATGTAGAAAGAATGAATGAGGAAAGAGTGACAAAGCAAATTTATATGGCAGATGTGAACGGCCGAGTCGGGAAGGGACGCCCTAGAAAAAAGTTTATCGACCAAATTGGCGATATTTTGAAAAAGGGGCCACGTTAGAAGTACCCTTAACCGACGAACATGTATGCTTAGATATATGGATGTAAAGGAGGCGAAAGAGGTATGTCAGGATCGTGCCAAATGGAAGTCCGTAGTCTCTGCCTACCCCTCTGGGTGCAGGCGTGAGTGTTTATGTATGTGTATGTATGTTGTTAATTGTAAACATGATTGTAAACTATTATTTGAAGAAAAAAATTGTCCCGCTGGGTTTCTTGCTGGTTCTCCCCAGGACAGAGGTTTTTTTTTGCGAACCAGTGGTAAATGAAAAACTTGACTTTCATTAAGTATTGTTTATAATCTACATGATGATTTTTTATATTTACGCGAACACTACACATTGATTAAAACAACTTTTACGGATTTTATCGCGTTTTTTTTACTTTTAATTATTTTTATTTTTAATTCCCGACGTTTCGTGCGCTTTCCAGCACCCATGGTCACGGGTGACTGTGATGATTGACGTCCCGTTGTCATTTTTAAACTCGGAGTACCTTCAGCTTTTTTAATTATTGTTTATGGTCCGATCTACGCAAAATGAACTGACTATTTCCTGAGATCTTGCAGTGGTATGCTCGGGTTTAGTTTTAATTTTATTGATTATAGGATCCCAACCAGAGAAAATAAACATATTGATAAATAAAATAAATTAACAACTAAATCAAATGTACCAACATACGAAATCGTTGACCACAGACACGAATCATAAACAACGCGCTGTCTACAACTTATCAAAACAAACACTGGACGACTCCACAATAAAAGTTTTAGAAAAAGGTATGAATTTCGCAGTAACACAGCGAAAAATACCGTATAAGGACATTATCTGTAGTGTTCAGGACTGTCTGTATAAAAAAAACATTGGTAATGAAGATTTAGAGGCCATACGTCAAGACATTTCTTCTGTGTTACGTCGAAGTTCAGCGCCGAAATTAAATCTTCCCAAAAATTAATTTAACGCGTTGAAAAACTTACGCAATAGACCAGAGCTTACCATTCTCCGCGCAGATAAAGGTAATGCTACGGTTATAATGGATACGTCAGATTACAATTTTAAAATACAACAACTTTTGTCGGATGAAACCACATACCGAAAGGTCAAAACATACCCTACAACTAATACGCTTAAAACAACTAGCTACTTGATAATTAAGAAATACTCCGAGAAATTGTATCTGGACGTTAATTCGATAATACCTTCATGTGCCAAACCACCGAAGTTGTATGGGTTACCAAAAACACACAAACCGAACGTTCCACTATGTCCAATAGTGAGTCAGATTGTTTCGCCAACTTACAGATTGGCTCAATACTTAGCTAAAATATTATTATCACCACTCAGAGGACACACAAGAGCACACACTAAGGATTCATACCATTTTGTCAGTGAGATAAAAGACCTACGTCTTACTGACAATAAAACCATGGTCAGTTTTGATGTTCAGTCTCTATTTACATGCCTACCTGTTGAAGACTGCATCTCAATTATAACTAGGAAACTAGACAAAAATATCATGCCAGCAGAATATGCAGTATTACTCAGACATTGCCTTACATCTGGCTATCTATTGTTAAGTAAGAGTTTTACAAGCAAGTAGATGGTGTTGCGATGGGCTCATCTGTATCTCGCATTGTCGCCGATGTATTCATGGAAGACTTTGTGGAGAAAGCCCTCCTTACTGCACCTGTTACACCAAGGATCTACAAGCGGTACGTAGACGATACTTTCACAATTTTATTTA